CTCCGGACTGAGAGACGCCGTTATAACAAATTTTGGCATTAATGGAATAATCTGGAACTCCGGTACTAGATATCATTTTCTTGGCAATATCCAGCGTGCCCCACAATATCCGCAGAGGAACGTTGCCTCCCCTGTTATGGCGGATTTTTATTGGGTCGTTCCACGAGTCCTCGCGGAGTTTTAAAACTGCCGGCGTTGGAACCTGTTTTAATGCTCCTTGCTATTATTGAGCACTGAATCTTTCTAACTAAACTTCCAAGCATCCGAATAATGGTTATTGCATTGCGTTTTATAAACCCCGCCATTGTACGCTACGTCAGATAAAGCAGGATTTATAATCGCAGTGGACGAGCTGAAAGGCGCTCTGTTTAACACACAAGGGCCCAAAGTACCTTTCACAGAACATCAGTATTGAATTCCCTGTAAGCCGTGTGAGACATTTTAAGCAACAACACACAAAATTTGAAATATATAGAATCGCGGAACTGCATTAAGAGTCAACAGAAACTTAAATGGCTCGTTTCTAGAATTCAGTGTAGAAGACACGTAATTGCTCAGTTAGTACAATTTAGTACATAAATTTAATAAAAATAAAAGTAAGGCTGTCCCACTATACGCCACGTAGGCGCTTAGGGGGAGAGGCGGTATAGCTCCTACTCATTCTCGACCTCGGCACTAGATGGGGGTGAGTGGTCAGCTTCACACCTCGGCCGTGTTTTACCCACCGGGAAAGAACCCCGGTACCCATTGGATAGGAGACTGGGTGGGACCCAGAGCCGGTCTAGATTCAGAGGATAGAGGAAAAATCCTCTGCCCCCGTCGGGGACCGAATAATAAAAAGTATTTGATATAAATAAATGTAATACATCAATATAAATTGCTTCAGAATTTATAAGCAAAAATAATAAAATCACTTTATTAGCAACTTAGAAAATTCTAAATTTTGGGGGGAAAAGCTTTGGCCCATTAGGTAGTACACTTCTAATTTAACATTCCCTTTGCTATTCCGAAGAAAATAAATGAAAAGATATCAATCACTAATGTTCCTGTGTGAGATTTGAGGTTCTCAAGGCGGTGAAGATGTAGATGTTGGTTTTTTTGGGATTGTACGTACACACCAAGGTTTCGGAGGAAATTATTGTCTCCATTCTCAGATCCCAAATAATTTTCACAGTTTGAAGATGATTGTCTCCTACAAATGTTCGCATTTGTTTTGTATGAGTGTGGAAAGTAGGTTCTTATTTAAAGAGAAGGGCATGAATTATATATATATATATATTTTAATAAATCTGCTCAGAGAAATAGTCACCGAAGGATTTAGGGAAAATTAACGTCTCTAACATGAAATTTACTCGCTTACGAAGATGAATTACTGTTGTGAACACTGAATTTTGGTGATGGAACCTCTCGTAAAATGATCATTTGAAAGACCGAGTTGGAGATAGTAAAATAAGCCTAGAGGCCTACAGAGTAGGCTGGATCACGAAGACATCGGTTATGAGGGGCTCAGGCGTTTGATATAAGTCGTGTTGAACCTTCGATTTCTAATATCAGTAAATTAGTTTGTTACTAACGTGACTACTCGCATATTAGTCGGCGATATTTCGTTCCCTAACTAACAATTTAGAATTTTTACGCCGTAGCAATACGTAGAGTAGCTCTGTGACTCATTTAACCTCCAGTATACTACGAAGATTTTTCAGGAATGGGTGGAGCTCTACCTCCAATCTGTTCTAACTCCCCCTAGTGGCGTGTGGAGTCAGAACTTTGCGTATGACAGCAAAATTTATTTCAGTTGCTGAAAGCTAAGAGCTTTGCAGGTTTAATCTAAAACTTACAGCTGAAATCTTGCAGATGGATTTCATTTGGATTAATCTGTGTCTGTCAGAAACCTTAAAAGCGAATAAGTATACTCCAGCTTGGGGTACACGCATTTTTAAAAACATCTTGTTGGCGATTTGACGTTTACCTTCGTACTGATTTATTATTAATACAACTCCAGCTATGAGACAACTCAGATTTATTCGTCTTCATATCATAAAGGACCCAGGATATCTGAGTTACTATAATGACAGCCATCTTAATTGCCACGAGAACCTTAAATTTTACAGAAATTAAGTGGTTTTTACAATTCTTTCATGAAACACTGCAATATAAAATCTAATTAAAACCGGATTATCCGTATTGGATTTCATTTATTCTTTCGTACGGTGAAAATTGGTCACGGTTTACGTTTCAAATAATATTGCCACAAATAACAAAAAATAAATTTAATAGACTGACGTGCTGTTATAATAACACAAATGTATAACGTGCTCAAAGTTTAGAAATGGCCACTGTCCATTAAGATGGCAGATGGCAACCAAGAATAAAGTCATCTTTCTACTCACCTCCGTGAGAACCTCAAATCTTACAATGTCTAATAGAACCGGGTCGTAATGAATCATTTTTCATCAGAGAACAAGGTAGAATGTGATCTTTTGAGCAAGTTTCCAAATTGTGATCCTTTTATATTCATTGTTCTTCGTTTATAGAGGGCAGAAATGTGTTCTTGCAGAAGTAGAGACAATGTAACACTTTAAAGAAAACGTAAGTTACAGGCCTGCGTATATTTTGTATCTTATATCGTTGTTTTATGGACTGTAAGGTTTATGAGAACAATTTTATTGTAAAAGTAACGTGGACATTAGATTCGCTGACACAAACTCAAATCAAATTCCCGTGACAACGTTTACATTAGACTGCCAATACTACGTTTAATCGAAATCCGTCCAGTAATTACAAAAGGAGATACAATTCCCATTACACGTTCATTTGGTTAGTTTCTTACTAAAAAACACATGAAACTGTTTGTTTTACAGTGAGTCTAGATTTCCGTCTTCTGCTTTGTTGCGCTGTGAAGATGTGAACTGACATTTTATATGTGTTTTTTGCCTCCCTTGAGAACCTGAAATCTCACCAAATACACAATGTATCTTAACTAAACGTTCCGTGTTGGAGAAAATCATTGAACGGCCCCAAGCAAACTCCAGCCTGCATATTAGTGTTGGATATGACGTCACATGAATCAGACTCATGGTATCATGGTTCAGCTGCCATTTCGTGATCTCAATAAGCTTTCTCTGTCAGGATTAGAGGGCTTATGTGGGGGAGGGGGGGGGGTCTTGGAACAGCTGCTTAGTGTGATGGATGCTGTATTAACACCAGGGGGCGTCTGTAGATAGACTTGCATATTAACAGCTTCGTTTGTGGTTAGCAGGGGCTCGTCACCAGGAAGCAGAGGGTATATTATCACAGGCATTGGTGTTGCCGTTGATGATTGGACAATGTTGAGAAAATTACGAGAGTACAGCAATTGTGGCTGATACTATTAATCGAATATTAGTTTTAGCAAAATGATTAATTTACAGATTAATTGGGCTAGTTTCAGATTCTTTCATTTATACACACTTCTCCAAAGCGTTCATGTATTCCAAATAACCAGTCGGTCTATGAATATTTTACGGCTGTGCCACACCCAACGGGGGTTTGTCGCCGGCGTCTCACGGGGTATGTCTGGGTCAACTTCTAGGGCAGTCCATGTGGAGTTTACATGTATCTCTTCAAAGACTTACGATTTTCCATTGCCAATATTATTCCATCTTTGCCCCATATTCACTCTTAATATCACATTGGAGATGGACAATGGTCCAGTTTTGCAGAAACGTATCTCACTCAATTCTAGCTACGAGGGAAATAAAACTTAAACGAACATTCGACGTAATGTCGTTAAATATTCAATTAATCGACTTACATTCTGAGGAGATAATTCATACTGTCTTAAAGTGTGGCACTTAGTAAATTAGTAGGAGAATTATCTAAGCAGTGACCACACTATGTAGTGATAATTCCATTAAATATTGCACCGTTGTCAATCAAACCGCCATATTGTGTATTATTTGAAATTATTTGATGTAAGTTCGATGTTAATCGTGTCCCTTGTTACCACGCCATGGAGCGTCCTCGGGTTTCGGGAGGATGAGACGAGATTGAGATATAGATGACAGCTGAGAATATACTGAATAACCAGTCACGGAGAGCCGATAAGGGGTAGTTCTTCAAATTGGCAGATAGGTGAGGGCTAACAATTCCTCACCGTAAAGAAACAAGTTACGGAATGTTATTCAAGGCCTCGAACTTGGATTGAGGGCTTTTTTGAGGACGTCAATGAACCTTGGGGTTTTATGAAAGGCGAGCAATTTCCTGAATAGTTGAACGTGAGTTGGCATCTCAGGAAAGATTGTTCTTCGTGGAATGAGTCAGCGAGCGGGCTACTTAGTTAGTTGCTGTAAATTACTTGCCCGAAGTACCGCTGTGAATCATTTGTTGCGAGTGTAACACTGACTCTGGTTCAAACTCAAGTTACTTCTGTACTGGTCTACGAGTATAGTTTATACAACCGTGTTAGCTTTGAGGTTCTCAAGGCGGTGAATTTATCGACGTTGGGCCTTTAACTTGTACGAGGTAGGTAGATATTAATATAAATGTTTCGGATAAAAATATACATCCATCTTCAAAGATGAAGACGTGGACCATTGTGTCATGTTAACAATTCTGTTATTAATCCAGAGAAGACACATTTCGTTAGCATTTGACTTACAGGCGCTCTTAAATACACTGTCGTCTGTAGCTTCTTCGTGTTAAACGATAAAATATGTGAATCCCACGTAACCTCTTTATACATCTAGTAACAGTCATCGTTCGATTTAAGCTGATATATGAAGATTATTTAAATTATTCTAGATTACTCAATGGACCGACCGTGTTTATTCCGAAGCAACTATATGCATTGTTTGCATCGGCGCATTTATAATCCTTAATATGGGGTAAAACTTGTCGTCTGCATTGATGTCAAAAGTTCTACTGAGACGGGGAAGGTTACCAGTAACATTTTGAGCAAACAGAGGTTGGTAGAACTGAGATTCTAAACCTCGAAGGCTTAAGGTGAACAGAACGTGAAGATTGGTTGCAAGCTACAGGACCATCACATAACTTTATTAGAAGAAATATCGATAGTATTAGAGTCGTCTCTGTGAAAGCCAAATACCAGAAGGATTTCAACCAAGGATGTTTGTTGATAAAACATCTGTTGTCGACGAAGGAAAAACAGAGACGCGAGGTTTCTGGATGACAGTGCGGAGTGAACTTGGAATGAGTGAGTGTTCTCTTAAAATTGAAAACGTCGGGCAACGCTTGTTTGATTTATTGATTACTTATTCATGCCAGTGCTACTGTTCGGTACCCAGAGGAGATCGATGTTTTCTGGTCCCATAGTAATATTAACGCTGTACCCTGTCCTATGCTATCCTTAAGTTCTGTTGACAGATTTCTTGCAACCTTTCACGTCATGAACCAGACTTGGGCCAACAGAGTTCATCATCTAAATTAGACCAAATTTAAAATATTTTGATTAAATTAATTAATTTCCCTGTTGCTACTGATGATGAACTGTTGAGGTTGAAACGCGTATGTACCTAGTGTCTTTTTTATAGTGTTAATAGTTGTTTGTTTATTTATTTTATATTCTCATACACTACGCGGTATACAAAGTTTTAAGATCAACTCGTAATGTTTTTGATGTCAAATGTGAACCGGGGCAAATCGTCCACTGTTATAACTTCTTGTACAGGAAAGAAAATTGTGATAATTCCAGAAGGAACAGAAATGCTGACCCCACATCTCTGAGAGATTTGAAGCCCTTCGTAGTTTTAAACTGCGTAAGTTTTCCTTCCCGTGTTTTTAACGGTGTAGTATTCATGTAATCCAACAGAGAAATTTGTGTCATTTGTTACCTCGCTGGTATTGTGGTCTTGTAACAAAATCAAATATCTTTTAAGATAAATTAGGAGTTCTCAATACGCGGCGCACGAGCCGCTTACAGCCCGCAGTTTCCTTTTTCGAGTACATATTTGTAATTCTATATCACCCTGAATGACGGAAATTGTTTGTTTTTTTGTTAATGCAGTCGGTATTTGGCAATAGGTCCACCTATTTCTGTGAGAAACTGTTTAGCTCGATGAAGAACCTGGTATTTAAAGGCTGACGTAGCAATGTAGTTTCAAGTTTATCCCCGAATGTCGATTCTGTTAAAAGAAATGTTTTGAATAATACGTGAACCTGTTTGCAGCAGTTGTCTTAATGTAGTATAATTTGTAACAAAACTGCAATGGCCTTTCAGTGAATTGTCGTCTTATTTATAAACTTGCCTTCCGCGAGCCGATAACGTATCGTGAATGTGGTCCCAGGTCGGGATAAAGGATGAGAACCCCTGAGTAAAATATTCTAATAGTTTGCATATCTACTACGGTTACTGTTATTGTTATTATTATTATTGAATTTTGATAGGAAATCCTTCTGGAAAACGACCACTGGGCAGACCAAGAAATAGATGGGAAGATAACATCAAGATAGCTCTTTGGGAGAATGGCAAATGGATGGAGTTGGCTCAGGATCGTGGCCGGTGGCGGGATTTGGTGTTGTCGGTGTTGGACCTGAGAGTTCTGCTACCTGGGGGTAAGTTATTATTATTAGTAGTAGTAGTAGTAGAATTATTGTTATTAGAAAACACTTATTATGCCTACTTAAGTACCCTAAACATTATGACTACATTAAATTAGTTTCGCATCGTTACAACCTTTGTAATTGCTGACTTATAAACAATACTCAAAAGCTAAACTTTTAAAGATCTCTTGCCACACAGCGGCCTTAAGAATTAAAACTGCGTGTGAATAGCTTTATAATTTGCAGTCGAAGCAAAATGCTATTAGATCAAGAAGGATCAGCTAGTAGCACAGGTTTGGAAAGGAAGAATTTCAACAACTGGACCTGGGCAAAGATGAAATTCGACATAGATCTTGAAGGAATAGGGCGATGACTCAGAATTGGGACCAGTGGCGGACTCTTGTAAAAACAGCAATGAATTTTCGGGTTCTGTAAAAGGCGGGAATTTTATTGGCTAGCTGCGCGACTATTGGCTGCTCAATGACTCTTCATCGTTGAGGTCTTTACCGTGTCTTAGGCTTTGCCTTGAGAAACTAGGTCAGGCCTCACACACCTCGCTGATGGTCGCTGGTCTCTTTTTGTCCGGAATCAAACCTGAGACCTGCCGAAACCGATCATCCTGTCCGACCTCTGTAGAGTTTCGTTGCCTGTCGCGGGGTTCGGGGGAGGGGCGTCGTCCACAGCCGTCACGACTAAAATCAAGACTAATGCAGACACGGATCTGCACTACTCGCTGGGTCTCCAGGGAACCCGAAATGGCTATGCTCCCTGCGAGAGCGACACGGACATGACGTCACCACCAGCCCACAGCGAGCGTGTGGGGTCGACACACACCTAGAACTCAATAATATCGATAAAACATAAACAGGAGAAGAACGCTGCGAGTATAAATCAGCAGTCGGTGGTAAATACGTGAAAGTTTTGTTCGACAAACGGTGAAACTGATTTGGAAGTTTTGCGAAGCTCTCGCTTTGAAATCGAAGCCTCTGTCCAGTAATGGAGTGCGGCTAAAGTTCTCTCTCCGTGCTTGTTTCGTCATGAGGATGGATTGTTACAGTTAGCTTGCCTCAACCCAAGACGAGAAACTTTCGTAGTCATTCTCTGCAGAACGATGCGGAACTCCGCAGGAATTTTACGTTCAAAACCCAATAAACTCAAAACGTTGAAATAATGCAGAGTTCTCAAACTATTGCAAAGTACGATCGAACTAGATTAAGGGACGAATGATGACTTTTAAGAGAAAATCGAACGATTCTGTCCAGAAGGGATCAAGAAATGACCCAACTCCTTGACTGCTGGATAATTATGATGATATTCTTTCAAAACAGAAAATTCATTTCACTGAATTTATATTCAACTCCTTGACTGCTGGATAATTATGATGAAATTCTTTCAAAACAGAAAATGCATTTCACTGAATTTATATTCAGAAATATTAACTAATTCCATGGAACAGAGTCCTTTTTGAGAAGCTAATAGTAGCTTAGTTATTCAACAGAATTCTTCGTCTTTCAAATTTATTACAGTGCTCAAAAGACACCGCGAGTGATTTTTACTCTAAGCTAAAAATAATCCTATTACTTGTGGCAATGGAGTGCACGGGGCAATGAGTAACGGCTTGTTTCGATCGATATGAAGAATGTTTATTGTTATTAGCTTTCGATATAATCATTTGCCTGCGTCTTAAAATCAAGATTTTAAACTTTAATACGTTTCAGAGATTTCCTACGCCTCCGTCTTCAGAGTCGAACACAGGACAGATACTTCCTTTGTGGAGTTAGATAAATATATTAAATTAAATTATAATACAAGGTTGAAAAGAACCTAATATTTTTTTAATTATAAATTTTAAAAAATAGACAATGTATACTTTACCAGTAAAATCCCGAAGAAGTCGTCTGTCTTCTGGAATGCAGAGTCGTGTAGTGTAGTAGATATTTATCGACGTTTCAGAGAAACACGAATTTACAGCTTTCATCATCGAGTTAGCAAAACATCCGCGCCAGGTAGGTTCTACAACACAGACTTCCCGTCCTCAGTTTAGGCATCACCTTGAAGATGGAGTCAGTAATCTCCTCCGAAACGTCGGTATTTACCAGATTAGGCCCGCATGGTGCTACATCCCAAGGAAAATCGTCTTCAACGTGGATACCAAGTTCGTACGTACATCGTATCCCGAGCACGTGACAACATGCCAGCGCCCTGACAAATGTAAACAATGTGTAAGAGGGACTTCTTTTTCTAATTAAGTCTCGTTCAGGGGCTTAGATCTTCCAACGCGTCACGAGTGTTGGGATGGGTTAGGAACTTGTGTTTAAATTGCATAGAACTCGGATTACGGCTTCAAAATTGAATCCGATTCTCAGCGTGTGTCGGATGCAACGCAATGTCTGCGGGGGGTGTTCGATTACTGGAAGGGCGTGGTAGGTCTACGGTGGTGCCTCTGCTTCGAACAGCCCGGCTGTGTGATTTAATAGAGCCACAAGGAAATGCCGATGAGGTAATGTGAGTAAAATGTTTACGTTTTCAAACTTCAACACATCTCTCGATTATAGCCTGTAGCCCTGGTCATTATGGTGTTTATTTTAATATCTCACGTTAATCATCCCTAAATTACTTATTTATTTATTTTAGTGTTCTGTCTGAGGACAGGTCCATATGAACAGGATCCTTCCATCCTTTTCTCGGACTGGGACCTGTTCATATACGTTCTTGGCAGATGATCCAGAAGTGGTTTGCCATTGCCTTCTTCTGTGTGTGAATGGAGTAATTGTTGGGATGCCACGGAGGAAAACTCCGTGTTGCCTAGACCACGGCCTTGCCCAACACAAGTTATAAATTCGGGCACCGCCGGGAATCGAACCCGAGACCCCCAGGATTACAAGACCAGCGTTCTAACCGCTAGACCACCGTGGCATCTCCTAAATTACTTATAAAATAATATAAAGCAAAGTTACCCACAACATTTCTGGGAATGAAACGTTTTTTTACCTTTCAAATAATCCTCATGTCACCAGTTATTATACAATGATTTAAAAACTTACGATCCTAAGTTTTCCTGGTTTATTTGCGTCTAATTTGTAGAAGGTAACTTTGCGTGTATTGAAACAAGTTAGGATTCAGATGTAAATTATAACCTGGAAAACAGATCAGTTGGCACAAACGTATTCTTCATGCTGAAATGATTAAAACCTCTAAAGCTAGATAGGTAGATATGAACAGGTGGCTCCCGTTATACACGGGGGGTTGCGTTTCTGTAACCCGTATAATACAAAACCCAACGAAAACGCTTAAAACGGGGTAACCTAACCTAACCTAACCTAACCTAACCTAACCTAACCTAACCTAAGAATCGCTTTTATGTTAAACCAACGCCAGGATTCTTTGATTTTAAGTTTACACATTAATTTTAATATATTTTTAATACTATGCATATAATATACTTTAAAATGTAAATAGAGAGGATTTGACGCATATAATATAGTTTAAAATGTAGCCTCGGATAGGATACTGAAGAAAACCCCGCAGATATGATAAGACGCGGATGTCTAAAGCATTTATAAGGAGAGCCACACGGAACTTTACTTAACTGTTTAAATTTCTTGTAATTATTTTATTTTATTATTCTTGTCAACGTTTATTCAAATTTATTTTATTCAGCACGTGTCCATTTGATTGAAGTCTATTTCTCGCGTTTCCCTTTTTCACCGCAGTGACGCGTAAGCTTTAGTGAACCATTTGACTGTTGTTACTTTATAATAGTAATGTGATTGAACGTTAAACTTTACCACGTGACCGCGAGAGACAGACACTGAGCCCCTCGGTTCAAGCAATCAGCAGAGTTGCTACGTCTTGTTTCTGGTTTTCAGTTCGCTGTTCTTCGCTCCAGACTACACGTGATAACCAATTCTACAACAGAAATATTAACTTCTTAAGTATAGTGCCTCAAAGTTTAGCAACCACAGTTTCAAGCCTGCCGTTTCAAAGGATACAGATTAGCATCTCTTATAAATATTTTCAATGAAATCGATATTTGTCACCGAATGTGACACGATAAGCGTCTTTGTTTGGTGATTGGTGGTTTGTACATCTTCATATTCGAGAGATCTCCAGGGAATCTTGTAGCAATTCAGGTACCTGTCATTTTTTGACTAAATTTTTCGTTTAATTAATTATTCTTGTCCGTCTAATCACAATTTAAAATTTGCAATGTAAATCGAATGTTTCGATAAGGAACATCACATGATATTTTAATTATCTTAATTTTAAATTTTAAATTATGATTACACGGACAAGAATAATTAATTAAATATATATCTTCACAATATGACGCAATGTTCCTAAAGGTATGAGATTCATTACAGAGCCTAATGATTTTCTATATATTTATAACAATGTATGATTCATAAAAGAAACGCTATGTTAGACATTGTCCATTGTCTGTGGTGTTTTTATTTCAAAGACGTTTCGGGAGTTGTTGTCGTCTTCAGGTGATTGGTTGTCATTATACTAACACTCTTTTTTGTATAATGGATTCTTCTCGGGCTACTACCAGCCGTGTGTAAGGTGGTTTGACGGAGAAAACACCAATGTTTCGAGAACCATCTTCGTCCTCATCCTCAGGGTACTTACACGGATGGTAGCCCGAGAAGAATTCTTTATACTTAGTCGCCGTGAAAACTTCAGATCATATTATTTTTTTTGTATTTTTAGAGATAACGGGTCCGACCGTTGTCACTAATAATTGTCACTGATGTTTTCTTTGCGGTACGGGCTGAATTCTTAAATATTATTTAGACGAGCTTCGGCTTCAAATGATTAAATCTACGACTGGATGTCTGGAGTAGAAAATGAACGCAACACGAAAGCGAGTAACTGATAAGATAGTTCAATGGAATATTGTGAAAAATTTAGTTGAGAAAATATCGAAATATTAAGGAAATATTGAAACAGAAACGAAGAGAGAGAGACATGGGGTTGCACAAATCAAGGTGGGGGTTGATAGGCGAGGC